AGTCTGCTTATAATCCTGGCACAAGGTGAAATCTTTATAACATCGGGTGAGTCCACACTGATATTCAAACATAAAACAAGAGCAACACATCCTGTTTTCATCTACAGTTAAAAAACATCATTTTAGAGCTAACTATAAAGAAATACACTACCAATAACAACCCAACAAATCATAGCCTCTGATTTCAAATGCATAGCTGTATTAGCAACGAATGATCACAATTACAAGAACAGCAACACTAATAGCATGTTGGGTTTAGCATATAGCAACAGAAGCCTCCAGCAAATCTCTAAAGCAAATTACTTTGACGATCATGTGAACTCCAACTAACAAAACTAAACCACCCACTACAAGCTTTTTGCTTAATAACTGTTGGTGCAAGTAAGCCAAGTATGGCAAAATACAGCTTTATGTGGCAAGCATACATGATTACAGGTTACCCTACTCATCTAATCAGTAATAGTGGGAAACTAATAGGTCCAACAGAAACAAGGCATATACCTTGTCTGATAGCATATTATCTCATAAGCATATAAAATGCAAAAGGAAATCGAAAATGATGAAAGGGTAAATGCAGGAAACAACAGACACTACAAACCAAATTACATTTAGTGGCACAATTTTTTAGTGGTATATTTTTTTTATGCCACTATATTAGGTTTCTAGTGTCACATATTTTTATATGCCACTATATCATGTTCGAAAGTTCTAATTTTTGTTGAGCACCTGTTATATTTCCTTCTAATTATCATTTCACGCTCCTTATTCCCTCCACCATTGAAGGCGTTGCACATACCCCTTTTAAATTCTAGGTCAAAACTCCAAAACAGATTTGAAATTTTTGGATCCCCTGAATTCGCAATCACTTCCGATAACCAAAATCCCCATCACTCTTGTGTATCATCTCCTTCTTTGCTGCTGGTTAAATCTTAACATCTCGTTTGTAGAAGCTCGTTCAAGACCAAATCTATCTCGGTATCTCATAGTTGATTGAAGATTTCTATATCTCATCATCGATTTCATCTTGTTTTTCTGCCTGTTGAATAGGTCCGATTTCGGATCCTCTACATTCATCTCAAACCCTATATATTGAGTTGTTGGATTCCATTGAAAATGTAATCAGAAAATCCTGCGATCTCTCCCTATGTATTACAAATCTACCCTTCGATCTCACCCTTGGCCTTCTCCATCCTGTCGAAAGCTCTCCATTAACACACTCTAAGGATTGTCTCTACTCTATTCTCAAATTTTCAGATTTTCGATGTAAATTGTTGTTGGTCAGAACTTTTTTTGAGTTTATTTTTTAACCTACATTGTTGGAATTTGTTGTCGTTTGGATGTTTTTGGCATTTCTATTTCAATATTAATCGAATATCCTTCATGTTTAGAGATGCACATCAAGTGCTCGGGTAAATTCCTGAAACGAATACCACTATGAGTTTAATTTTTTTGCTATTATATAATGTTTTACTCATTCATTGCACATATATACCCATGATATTTGCTTTTCTGTCACGAATCCTAAAGTTTATAACCAGTATACATATGAAGCAAAAGATGCTTGTATTTTTATTGCCTTATTCATAACTAGAAGAATCTTTAGCTAAAATTATATTTCAAATGCAGGTAGGTTGGTAACATTCACATACAAATGACTGAGCGACTTATACAAGAAGTTTTCTGAGGCACTGGTCCAACAATGGGAAAGGAATTAGAGACTAGAAATATGAAAATCAGGGAAGATGGGGAGGAGGAACTAAATGTAGACGTGTTGAGTGAGAAGAAAAACATGAAAAAAAGATTCATGAATTCCAATGAGGATCCAAAAGTCTAAACCTGTAGCAAAAGAAGGGAAGCAAAGATATATCTCTCCTACGTGATTCCATTTTTGGATACATTTTGGTTACATTATCAGGTTAATTATGAGTTATGAATTTTAATTTTAAAAGAATAAAATAACTTAAAAACAAAATTGCTTAATTGTCATTGAGTTGTTTCTAATTATATTTGTTGATAAATTGTTTATTCTTGGATTTACAGGAAAGAAGAGCTCAATTTGACCAACTTCAAGTTGAATCTCATACGCTTCTAAGAGATGATTGCTTTAGTTATGCATCATCACTTTGTGTAACATAATAGTATAAATGCATTATATTTAATTTTATTTGATTGATCTGATTTAATTAAATGTATTTCATTTGTTAGAAACTAGAAGTGCTTATTGTCTAAAAGTTGATATCATCTATTCTGGAAATAAATAAGACAAAAGAAGCTTGAGGTGCCAAATAAGTAAGTGTTTATGTTTCTTTTTTTATTTTATTTTTGGATGAAATATCTACCTAGATTTGGATGATATTACATTTCGATGATGGAATTCCAAGTTGGCTGGCAATGTGTCATTTGTCCCATAAAAAATGTAGCTAAATTTAGTGAAGACCAAAAAATTCACTACTATTGTTGGTTTGGAAGGAATTGATACCTTATAGCTTTCAAGCCTTATTCTTCTATTGTAATCATATTACATGCTTTATACCCTCAGAGCCCTCTTTAACAAGCTATGGAAGGGTGGTAAGCATTTTATTAATTTTGCATGTCTTGTTTTTATTCAAAAGTCTTATTGATCTAATTTTATTCATTTGTTATGTAGGTATCATTCAGAAACAAAAGAAGAGATGTGAATCAAGTTTTGTGTTTATTCCCTAAAAAGTTTTAGTTCGATAGTATTATGTTGTTAGTATTAGTACAACATTTATATTTATTAAATCTTTTTGAAGACATTTGTATTATAAATTAGTTATTGATAGTATTTTTGTTAGACAAGTTTGAATTTACTTAATGGTATTATGATTTCATTCATTATCTAAGTTCTCTTATTATTATTTGATATTACCTTTAAAATCAAAAAATTGAGACCTAATTTGTTAATATAATTGTGTTAAAAAATTCCATAAAAAGCATAGAAATAATATTTAATTTTAGAGTAAAATAGTGGCATCAAAATAGTGCCACTAAATCCTACAAATATTTTAGTGGCATAATAGAAAAGTGCCATTAAAGCTCAATAAAGTTGCAGTGGCACAACGAAAAATTGCCACTAAAGGCCTTTAGTGGTAGCGTTTTTAGTGACACTTTTTTTTTGTGCCGCTGATTATCCAGGGGGGATTTAGTGGCACTTTTTCGGTTTTTAGTGACACTTTTTCTGTGCCACTAAATGTCGTTTTATTTGTAGTGAGATTACCTGGTCCTTAGGCCGCCATTTGGAGACCAACCCACTTTCAGCAGGAAACAAGATCACCACTAGCAAATACACACTTATAAACTTCCAACCCAAGAATCTCTTCATTCAGTTTCATCAAGTGGCTTACATATACTTTTTAGCCATTGCAACTCTCAATCAGCTTCCTCCTCTTGTAGTCTTTGGAAGAACAGTCTCTCTTTTCCCTCTCCTTTTTATTCTCACAGTAACTGCTATAAAAGATGGATACGAGGATTGGAGAAGACACAGATCAGACAGAAATGAGAACAACAAAGAATCTCTTGTGACAATCCCTTGTGACATGGTGCTAATGTGGATAAGTGATCCTAGTGGCATTGCTTACATACAAACCATGAATTTAGATGGAGAGTCAAATTTAAAGACACGTTATGCTAGACAAGAAACATCCTTAATGCCATTAGGGTCAATATCAGGGGTAATTAGATGTGAACAACCTAATAGAAACATATATGAGTTCACAGCTAATAGAGTTAAATGGTCATAAAGTTTCCCTTAGTCAATCAAACATTATCTTACGTCGGTGTCAGATGAAAAACACAAAATGGGTTATAGGTGTTGTTGTGTACGCTGGACAAGAGACAAAAGCTATGCTAAATAGTGCAATTTCCCCTTCAAAAAGAAGCAGACTTGAACAAGCAATGAACTCAGAAACTATCTGGTTATCTGTTTTTCTATTCATATTGTGTCTTGTTGTTGCTATTGGGATGTGTTTATGGCTATGAGTCATCAGGATGCAATTGATACGATTCCTTATTACAGAAAGAGCTATCTTATAAAGGGAAAGTTTCCAGGAAAACCGTATAAATACTATGGGATTCCAATGGAGATGTTTTTTTGCGTTTTTGAGTTCTGTTATTGTGTTTCAGATCATGATTTCGATATCTTTATACATCACCATGGAATTGGTTCGATTAGGTCAATCTTATTTCATGATAGAAGACAAACACATGTATGATAGCAGTACAAACTCAAGGTTTCAATGCAGATCCTTAAGTATAAATGAAGATTTAGGTCAAATTTGTTATGTGTTTTCTGATAAAACTGGAACACTTACTGAAAACAAAATGGAATTCAGAAAAGCTTCTATTTTGACACGTGTATATATACTGTGTGTTTACTTGATTTCTTCAATTTTACCCCAGACCATGACTATTGACTAGCCTCTAAAAATCAGGTGTGCATGCTGAAATGGTGTTGACACATGTATATATACTGTGTGTGTGTGTGTTGAAGAATAGTTGAAATGAAAAACTTACATGCCAACTAGAAATGGCTCTACATAAGAAAACAAGTGAACTTAAATCCACTGATGTGTTCACTTTCACCTGCAAACCAAAAAAACATAAGTAAGTTTCTGCTTCAAATCAAATCAAAAGTCTAAACCAAACAAAAGCAGATGCATACCATTGCATAGAGACCTCGAAAAGCATCCTCCTTTTGAATATCATCCCGAATTTTGTTGACATTAAGAAATTTAAGTATTGTCAAATGCTGTTTTAAGTAAAAATTCTAAGAAAAAGGAAATGAGGTTGAAGTTGTAAAATTTTTTGGACTTACATGGCTAAAGCAATATGCCATGCTTGCATGAAATGCTCCGTGTGAGGTGATACAAGCTGAGGACAAACTCATGCATGTCTACACAGGGTGATTGCACTATTTAAAGTGACTCATTAAGCCCTTCACAAATAACATCAAAAAATACTAGATGATGATACAACCCATGTTGGTAAAAGCTCCACCTGGTCGACTAGACCCACTGTTGTTGGACCGAATTACCCCTCCACTAGTCTTGGGTGTGCCAATACTGAACTTGTTTTCATCTATCATAACAGCAAGAGTCATGGCTCTGGCCAAGTTTGCTGGCTGTAAAATACGAACGGCCGAACGTGTGTCATCCTTGAGACCATTAATGAAGGTACCTTCCAACACGCTTTCTGGTATGTCTCCCAACTAACATGACAGTCTCTCAAAATTGCTTACGTAGTCACGTACAGTTCCTTCTTGTCGGATGGTGAGAAACTGATGATAGATATTGCCTTCACCTGTTAACTGGAATCGCTCCAACAACCATTCTTTTAAATCCTCCCAAGAGCGGAATGGGTCCCTTGCTTGACTCCAAGCAAACCAAGCCAGCGCCTTGCCGTCCAAGCAAATCGCTGCTGCCTTCAAACGATCACGTACTCCAATGTCTTGGATCTCAAAGAAATGCTCCACCATATAAATCCATCCAAACGCGTCTTCCCCTTCGAAAATAGGAGCTCTAATCTTCCGAAATTCTCCCATTTGTCGACCCCCACCCTTGTTCTTATCGTCCTTGGGTCCCTTTTTGAAGGATCCAAACTCAAGCTCAAATTCAGGATCTTCCTTGTCCTTCTCCTCCTCTTGAATGAGTTTCCCCTTGACAGTTTTCGTCAAGTTATTGATAGCTTGCAGGACTTCTGTGAATTGTGCAGCATTCTCCTTCTTGGCGAGGTTAGCTTCCTCTCGAAGCTTGGTAAGATCCTGCTCCAGGGCTGCAACACCTGCCTCCAATCCAGCTATCTTCTCAGAATTTGTTTTTGACATGTTGACACCAGAACCGTAGCAGCTCTGATACCAATTAATAGGTTCAAGATCCTAACCCGCAGGTAGGAACCTTAACCAGGCCTCCTGTAGTTCGAGAAACAGGGAATTCTCCAGCAAATCGTCTAAGACTTTTATTCCAGCATAAAACGTGATTTATCCCTAGAACATTAATTATATATTCGTATTAACCTAATCATAATCCAAAACCAGATCCTAAAAAACAGGAATTCTAAACTAAATAAAAAAACTACTATTCTAATTAAAAGGAAAGCTAAATAAAAGGAAAACATTTAAAAATTCTTTCTTGAATCTTGATGATTATCCCTTCGTCGATATACTTGACCAAAACGACCAACATGGGTCGTATCAAATGATTCAGATGATAAACAATAACAAATAAATAAATAAAGGACATTTGACACTTATAAAAAAGATAACTGATACTTGTCGTCATACCAGTTACTTAGCAGCAACCTCAAGAAACTCAGCTAGGCGTGGGTGCAAATGAGTTGGACAAACCTACTAAACAAAAAACACCAAAAAAAGTTAATATATAGTTAACATAAACCATTGTTAACAACTAGGCGTAATGAAATTGGATGACTATATTCCCAAATTACCCTTGCCAGGTCTCCAAGCAATGCAAATTGATATCTCGTACAATAGTTTTGAGTCCAACACCATCAGCGTGTGCTTTTGAGTGAATTCCTTGGGATAAGCCTTCCATATACGCTCTGTTATCCCTTTCCTTTTTGAACAAAACACCATAGCGAGACTCCAAATATGTAATAATAATTGATCGATAGAGTTTCTACATAAGTTGCAGGTGATCAAAAATGGCAGAAATTAGGAAATGTAAATTGTACCTTTAGCGAGATTAGGGTAAAGCCATCACGAATTAGAGCCATCATTACCTGTGGGAGACCTAGGGGAAGTTGATCGCCTCTATCCACCTGCCAAAAAAGTGAATCGTCTTCCCGTAAGTTTTTGGCGCTTTCTCCCGATCTTGCCGCTCAACCGGACCAGGGACGCCTGGAAGGAAAAGGACGTCGCTCTTCACCTCATACTCGTGGATGTGCCACATCGGCTTTTCTGAGTCCGGCAAGGTTAAGAACAGTTTTTATGTTATGATGTTTTCAACTCCTATTAACCGGGCATCGGCGACTGGACGATCGTAGATCAAGCACTGTCTCATATCCTCGTTTTGATGGCGACCGAGATGGCGGCATAAATGGAAGGGGGATATCAGAGCACAAAATAGAGAGACAGGGGAGACGGGAGAGAAAAGAGTCGAATGAGTGTTTAAAAAAGCCCTAGAAATTATCCCAATGATTTTCTGATATATGAATTGTTGAGGCATACAACAGAGATGGTATCGTGATTAGGGTTTGCAGAGAAAAGGGAAGAATAGAACGAAGGGGATCTTGAAGCGGGGTATTAAAATTTTTAAGAATTTTGAGGGGATTTCCTTTCCCCCTTACAAGAACGCACGTTTTAGTAAAAATCATAAAGCGACAATCACAGATGGCGCACGTTTTAGATAAAGTGCCCTCCGTGTTTTTTTTTTTTTTTTTTTTTACATTAGACACTAATTTAAGGGCACGTAATAATGCGTGACCTAAACACTCAAATTTTTTGAATAGACGACACATTTTTATTGTCACTCTCATTTGCGTAACATAAATCAGTGAGCCTCGTGATTTGCGAGTCGTGAAAGGCTCTTTTTCTTGTAGTGAGGCACAGGAAAAGGTTCTAAACTCCCGTATGGTTTCTGATGTTGTGCCTTGACTCTTGCACAAGTCACACACTCGGCCACATACTTCGCAATGTCGAGCTTCATCGTCGGCCACCAATAATAGGGTTTCAGGTCCCTATACATTTTAGTGGTACCGGGATGAATTGAGTACATGGTCTTGTGAGCTTCTTCCATCAGAAGATCTCTGACTCCTCCTGTCTTAGGTATCCAAATCCGATCTTGGAACACCTTCAGTCCGTGACAGTTTACACCGAACACCAACGTTTTTCCCAAACGTTCCTCCTTTCGGTCATTCTTCTCCGAAGATTCCTCTTAAGCTTTCTTTATACTTTCCAAAATGGTTGAGACAACTTCAATTCTCAACGCTCTTGGCCTTCTCTTTTCAAGATTGACTTTAGGACTGAGAGCATCAGCAACAACATTGGCTTTACCGGGGTGGTAAAGTATCTCACAGTCGTAGTCTTTAAGTAATTCCAGCCAGTGTCGTTGCCTCATATTCAATTCTTTCTGATTGAAGAGATATTGGAGACTCTTATGATCAGTGAAAAGTTTGCACTTCGTGCCATAGAGGTAATGCCTCCATATTTTCAGAGCGAAAACTACCGCTGCCAACTCCAAATCATGAGTCGGGTAGTTCTTTTCATGCTCCTTCAGCTATCGAGATGCATATGCTATCACCTTTTCTCTTTGGGTCAAAACACAACCCAATCCAACACCAGACGCATCGCTATAAACAGCGAAGTCTTCAACTCCATCGGGTAGAGAAAGTATTGGTGCCTCGCATAGTTTCTTCTTTAGCTTCTCGAATGCTTCTTTATGCTTATCATTCCAAGCATAAGTAGCTCCTTTGTGGGTCAAAGCTGTTAATGGACTAGCGATCGAAGAAAAGCCTTGGATAAACCTTCGGTAATATCCGGCTAATCCTAAAAAGCTTCGAATCTCCGTGGGACTTTTCGGTTGTTCCCACTTCATCACAGCTTTGATCTTTGCTGGATCAACCATTATCCCTTCTTGGTTGACCACGTGACCCAAGAATTGGACTTCACGAATCCAAAAATCACATTGGAGAACTTAGCATACAGCTTCTCCTTCTTCAAGACTTCTAACACTTCTTGCAAGTGTCTGCCATGCTCCTCTTGGCTTTTTGAATAAATCAGAATGTCATCTATGAACACTATCACAGATTTATCAAGGAACAGATTAAAAACTTTGTTCATTAAATCCATGAATGCTGCTGGAGCATTGGTTAGTCCAAACGACATAACCAAAAACTCATAGTGTCCATATCGCGTTCTGAATGCGGTCTTCTCTATATCCTGCTCCCCTTACTTTCAGCTGATGATATCCTGACCTCAAGTCGATCTTTGAGAAATAACTTGAACCTTGTAGTTGATCGAATAGGTCATCAATCCTTGGCAACGGATATCTATTCTTTATTGTTTCCTTATTCAGCTCTCGGTAATCAATGCACATCCTCATGCTTCCATCTTTCTTCTTTACGAATAACACCGGAGCTCCCCAGGGTGATGAACTAGGTCTAATGAAACCTTTGTCCCATAACTCCTGAAGTTGCATCATTAGCTCCTTCATCTCTGTCGGTGCTAATCGATAAGGTGCTTTTGCAATTGGCGTTGTTCCGTGCAACAAGTCAATACGAAATTCTACTTGTCGATCGGGCAGTAATCCAGGAAGATCTTCGGGAAATACTTCCGGATAATCACACACAACAGGAATATTTTTCATCACCTTCTTTTCCTTCTTAGCATCGATCACGAATGCTAAATATGATGTACATCCCTTGGTCAAACACTTTCTGGCTTTCATTAGGGAAATGATTTCAAAATTTACTCTGCGTTTATCTCCATACACCATAAACGATTCCTTTCTAGGCGGATTCACTTTCACTATTTTCTTCTTGCATAAAATTTCGGCATCATTGGCACTAATCCAATCCATTCCCAAAACGATGTCGAAACCATTAAGTTCTATAGGTAATAATTCCTCCTGGAACTTATTCCATTCAAATCAATTAAAATGTTTTTCATACGATGGCTAACAGGTACAAACTTGCCACTAGCAACTTCGACTAGTAAAGCATTATCTAGTCTCACAATAGGCAAAGCTAGTTTTCTACCAAATTCATGCGATATAAAGGAGTAGTTGGCTCCAGAATCAAATAAAATTTGGGCAGGCAATTTGTTAACGAGAAAGGTACCTGAAGCGACATCAGCCTCATCTTTAGCAGCTTCCAGTGTCATCTGGAATGCTCTCGCCTTTGGCTTTGGCGGAATGTTGGGTATTGCTGCTTCCTTCTTTTTCGGACAATCCCTTGAGATGTGCCCCTCCTCACCACAACCATAACAAACATTCTTGGTGAAAGTGCAGTCGTTGGCATAATGCCCTGGCTTTCCACATTTGAAGCATGTGGTTTCCCCGCCACACTTCCCATGATGCTTCTTCTTGCACTTGTCGCACCATTTCGCCTCTACCTTTCCTCCACTTCCTCTCGAACTAGACTTCGAGAATTTACTTTTCTTGTTAGACGCTGAGAATCCATCGATTTTCCTTTTCTCACCAACCTCTGACCTTTCCAGACCTTTTTCCCTGATCTGGGTCTCAACATTTCTAGCAGCCTAGATGGCGGCTTTCAATGTGGTTGCTTGCTTAACCATTGGACCATAGTCCGCTGGTAGTCCAAGGGAAAACTTGTTGACCTTAGAGAGTTCTATAGGCACCAAATATGGGATAAACTTCATCTTTTCTGTGAAACTTGCAGCGTATTCAGTAACGCTCAACTCCCCCTTCTTCAAATTCTGAAACTCATTACTGATTTCCAGAAGGTCCTGCTCGGAGCAGTATTGTAGCTTTAGTTGTTCCACAAAGTCTTCCCAAGACATTTTGCTTGCTTCTCCCTTGGGCATAGAGTCAGCTAACAGCTTCCACCAACTCAACACGCCAGATTTTAGCAGAGGGATCGCAAGAGCGGTCTTCTGCCTGTTGCTACATTCGCAACTTTCAAACATAGTCTCCATTTCAGAGACCCAGTCCATAATTTGCACCGGCATCGGGCTTCCGGATAGGCATGGTGGTTTGGATGCCATGAAATCCTTATACTTGCACCCACGACCATCATTTCCTCCATACTGGTTGTTGTTGTTGGATTAATGTCTAAGTCCATAACTATAATTGGTGAGACTTGACCCGACCCGGCATAGTCCATTTGGGTTGCATGGCATCATGCACTTGGATAGACTATAATGAGAGAAATAAGACACTTATGGTTATTAATATATTATCAGTTCTGGTATATTAATAATAAGAATAAGAAGATTATTTAATTAGTATTGATCAAGAATTAATCTAGGATTAATTAAGTGATCAAAAGAAGACTAATTAAATATATGGGTTGATTGTGCAAATCATCCATACTTATATAGTGGGCTAATGCTCCATGGATTATCTAGTTGGGCCAAAACCCATATGATGCTCCATGGATGCTCCATGGTGTATTTGAACCCATGGATCCAAGGAAATGGAAAGTCATGACAATTAGGTTTTACCCTAATTGTATAACTATATAAACATCTTATTCTTGATCAAAATCAGCCACTAGATTATTCTAGAGAGGGCTAGCCGATTTCATGAAGTGTAGAATTCTCTCAAGTTATTCCAAGTGTATTTGGTGTTGTGTGAACCATTTGAGGTGTCACACTTGGGGCACTAGGCACTCAAGCTTCATGAAGACATTCTACATCAAAGAGGTATGTATTCTAACTTGTGTTATTCAAAGTTTTGTATGCTAGATTAGGATAATACCTTGGATGTTCATATTTGCATGTATAATAGAGAAAACATAGATCAAGGTATTTAGGGTTGCATGTACACTTAGGAGTGTTAGAATGCTCACAACCCAACAGTGGTATCAGAGCCTAGGCTTGTTTTCTTGTTATACTTGCAATAGAAGCTGAAAAATCGAGTTTTGTTGCTGTCTACCCAGCAGACTCACCGAGTCCATGAAGGGACTCGACGAGTCCTAGGCAAAATGCATCCAACTCGCCGAGTTTTGTTCATGCACTTGACGAGTTGGACCCCAGACAGCATATTTTCGAGGTTTTTGGCTAGCAATGGACTAGGAACATTACCCTAAGTTGTTTTTGAACTTATAAACTTGTTTTTTAATGTGGTAATGTTCATGCTAATCCATTTTCAAAGATAATTGTCAATAGATTCATGTTTTGTATTAGTTTAAGGTTTAGACTAATTACATGAAAAAGTTTGATTTGAATTATCTTGTTCTTATGAGTTGCTTAGATTAATAGAAAAGTTAATTGAAATAGTTACTTTCAATCCATTTTAATCTAAGAGTTGAGTATAAAATTTGTTTGTGTAACTTGTCCTCAAGTTACATGAAGAGTCACATTAAAGACTCATAAAACTCATAAAAGTTGGTAATGGTTACAAAAATGAAGAGTC